GTAGGGGGTTACTACACCCCCTACACCCTATGTTAAGCATTTGTTATTGCTCCAGTGAAATGAAAGTGCAATCCTTTTAAAGTTTATGCGGAAGGACGATGCTGGTAAGCACCACAATGCTTTAACGGCATACGACCGTATTGTGAGAAGTGGCACATCTGCCAACTTGTTGAAATGAGAATTCCAATGGTGCAAGAATGTAATAAAACTAGAAAAGCGTATTGGTTGAAGTCAATTGAATTGCCTTTCCCCATTTAAATATACTACACTTAAGTTGGCCCAGTTGTAATCAATTGACAGTGGCATCGTGCTTTTATGCGGAACGAAGTTCTCAATCAATGTGTGTATGACCTTCTTCATGCAATAATAATGGAGTTTGAGGAATGGGAATGGTTATGATGCGTACAAATGATTTATTTATACATTTTTATTTACATAAAGTATTAGTGTTGCTGTTAAGCTAGACTTACTTTGTATAGTGACAAAGAAGCTTTATTAAATTTTAGAGGGGTTTTCGAATAACAAAGAAAGAAATAAAGGACAAACACAAAAATTTATTTTTAATTTTATTGAAGTTTGGCTGACCATACAACGCTGTTTCGAGTATTGCCAAGTACTCTTCATCAGTGGTCTTTGGAATAATCGAATTTTTATTTAATTAGTTTATAGTCCGTATATAATTTGTTTGGACTGCAAGTGCCAGGCTTAGAACTCGTGCCTGTCAAATTAGAAGCGATGACTAATCGTGTTTATCCACAAGAAGCCAAGGCTGCACAAACTTTCAATGCTCAAGTTCCAGGTTTTATTGTCACTTATTTTTATTTAATTAGTGACAACAACCAAAGCACTTGCCGTGCTTTTAAATTAGAACGAGCTTATAAACTACAGCTTTATTTTTGGAAACACAAGTTCAACGAATTGAAAGTTTAACTTTTGGGTTTTGCCTATTCTTTATTTCTTTTCAAAGCTACTCTTTTTGTAGAGACATTTTGTAATGCATATTGTTTTACTTACTATATGTAAAGCGACCATTCTGGTGCTTTTTACAAAGAAGCTATGCTATGTTATTCTACAAATCCGCTTTTTGCGGTTAGGAAAAGCTGAACAATATTATATTTTAACATATTGTTCTTTACTTTTCATAAAACCTGGAACTTGAGCATTGAAAGTTTGTGCAGCCTTGGCTTCTTGTGGATGAACACGATTAGTCATCGCTTCTAATTTGACAGGCACGAGTTCTAAGCCTGGCACTTGCAGTCCAAACAAATTATATACGGACTATAAACTAATTAAATAAAATTCGATTATTCCCAAAGGCCACTGATGAAGAGTACTTGGCAATACTCGAAACAGCGTTGTATGGTCAGCCAAATTTCAATAAAATTAAAAAATAAATTTTTGTGTTTGTCCTTTATTTCTTTCTTTGTTATTCGAAAACCCTTCCATTTTTATTTACTTAATAAAATTAATTTAATAGTAACATAATTTAATTTATTTATTTATGAATTCTAAATTTGTTGGTATTTTAGTCTGAGTATGTTCTTATATATGTATAATGACTTAATGGACAATTGAGTGTATTGAGTAACATTAACAAATCCAATACTCATTCTATTATTATTATGTCCAAACGTTCAAATAATGAACATCAATAAACAAAGTAAGTTTACGTTTATAATCAATAGAATCTTGATGAGTTAAAGAAAATTTAACTAAAATGCTGAAATAATATATTTGGTTATTTTTCCGATAGAGGATGCTGGTAAGTTTTCTTAAAGTTTTAGAGCATTTCTCCTATCTTCTAGCAATTCTGAAAGATTGTATACCAAAAGTAATAGAACAAATATATATTGTGCAGCATTTAAAAAGATATTATATTTATAACTGCCGATTTAGGGTGTTTAATGTTAATGTCTTTGAAGCAACTGAGAAGCTCATAAAATTAGGATATAGAATTGCATGGGCGTACACAAGTACGCAGGTTTTTCACTGAATATTTAAAATATTTATAATCTTAAAAAAAGACGGAATTCAGTTTGAGATGTGTATTTCAATACTTATTTATTTGCTATATATTAATCAATACTTCTTAAAGTATGATGTTGGTTTAAGGACCATTTTTCATTACACAAATATATTTTAAAATATTCGTACTTAAAAAAATAAAAAATAACTAACCTCTATGAAAATCATTTACTTGAATAAACTCTTTACTTAACAAACTTACTTAACTTCAAGTGTCACCTCAAAAAGATAGTTCTTGCTGAGAAAGACATTTGCAGACTATTTTTAGAAGAAAAGGAGACAGTGATACATATATTATGCCAATGTCCAGCACTGGCAAGAAAGAAGACTGTCTTGAGACGCCATTGGGGTGATGACACCATTGGGTTGATGATGACTTGGCGGGGAACCTCAAGCTAAATGAGCTGCTTCATTAGCAAGCGATGTAGGTATGCGAACCAAAACCACTCTAGCTTTAACTCCATAACGATATCCGAGAATTGAAAAAAAAGGACCCAAGTCGTTTCGTGTTCTACTTCAGCTAATCCTTCACTTC